TTATATGGCCGTTCAGGTCAAATCATGGGTCAAATATTGCGGTGACAAGCCGGTGACGTTCATAAGGAGAGCATCTGTGTCCGGCCCTTGTTGCTTTTGAAGTGAATTTTATGTGTTTCTACGTATTTTTCATTGGTTTTGGTTTTGGTCATTGTTGTTTTCATAGTGAATTTTATAGTCTTTAGTATTTCTACGTATTTTTTAGTGTTCTGGCCCTTGTTGTTTTCAAAGTGAATTTTATAGTGTTTCTACGTATTTTTTAATTCAATAATAAATTCTGAGATGGAGAGTGAATATCTTAAGGTATTATTATTGAAGGAAAAACGAGCCTCTGTTAGAACCTTTCTTTTAATTGCAGCAATCCACAAAACCCTGCGTTGTTTTGATAATTCATTTTTGTAGATCAAAAGCCGATGATTTAAAATAGCAGGAACTGAATAAAATTTCACATTATCCCTGTTACCTCGACTTCCACACCCAATTACGATGCAAATCGCTGGCATTTTAATTAACACAATACCTAAACACACAAAAAAACACAGAATCCGATAATTCAAATCTTGACGTTTGTCCAGAACGTGACAGAATCAATGACATACAGAATAAACAACACAGAACATATCACCTATAGAAAAATATCTCAAATGGAAGAATCGCGACAAAGGTTTTTAGTTAGGTTTTCATTCAACGATGGCGACACTGTCGGGAGATAAGAGAAATTTACAGGTATCTGTGGCGTGGACAGTGATTTGTGTTGGTTGGTTTTGTCATTTATTTTGTCATTTTAAAAGTCAAAATTTGAATTTTTAAATTGTGTTGTTGTACCCCACGGTTTCTACGCGCGGTAAAGTGAAAATTCAAAAAGTTTTGGTTGAAAAAAAACCTAATTTTTGTTCGTATTTTTTTGTATTTATTCGTTTGTTTCGTTTCGTTCGTATTTGTATTTATTATTCGTATTTACTTTGCGATCTACCTATAACTGCGTGACTCTTGCTAACTTACTAACTCTTTTTGCACTATGTTCGACATCGGAAACTTCCTGCCAGTCATAGTTTTTAAAAAAGTGATGCGAAAAGAGCTAAGAGGAGTCAGCAAGCCAAATGCAGTTGAACATTAAAAATTATACAAAAATAATAAAAATATATGAAAAAAATCAATTCGCCTTTTTGTCAAGAATACTCGATTAGTTGGGTTTTCAGTCAACGAGGGCGCCGTAATTCATAACCGGTACATACCATTGCAGATACTTTTCTAGAGGTGATATGTTCTGTGATAAACAACACAGTGCTTGACCTGAACTTCCATATTGAATTTCGTTTTTGACAGGTCATTAGATTGCCTAATAACAAATGTCAACATGGGCTAAGGCCGGGACCGCATTGGTGACAACATTCGCCCCAGTGCGGTCCCGGCCTTAGCCTATCTTGACATTAATTTGTTAGTGACGTAAAGTATGTGAACCTGTCAATATTTTGACAGATGAACACCAGTAGCACTAGTATATCATATACTCTCCACACAAGAAGTCGCAGAAAAGTTAATATTTCAATGCTCATATCTCAAAGACCGTAATACCTACAAGATTTTGTCCCATTTAAAGGTTGTTAAGAATTAAATCCTCTACAACATATCAAAATTTGAAAAAAATCGACTGATCGCCGAAATCCCATATAAGGTGTGCGAGGTCATTTCTATTGCAGTTGGTATACATCTGTAACTCGGTCAAATTTTCCTAATAGTCCGGGAGTTAACGACATATTTCATTGTACCATTTCCGCAAGCTTCATTCTTTTTGTATGTGTTATGCGTGTAGTAAATGATAGTATTATGAACGTCTGCCGGCGCACCAACACGACAGGGGGTTACAGGAGGGTTACAATTACAGCAAAAAATTAAAGAAAAAAACTTAAAGCCGCATAAGCGAAACTTATTGTACGTATTGGTAGAAACATAGAAAGCTCAGAAAATATAGTCTGCCACCTAAATTCCACAACAAAAGTCGTCTGCCACCCACAGAAGTAAGCGCCAAAAAAAAAAAAATATATACTCGCAAGGCTGAAATTAATTAAAATACTTCTTTTTATGGAAACAAACACAAACATAATAGTCTTCCACCAATAAGATACAACGAAGATCGTCTACCAAGCCTATGAAGTTGGGTTCGGCATGCAGTGCCCGAGCACCACCGCTAGGAAGCTGCATTTTTCTCTTATTCCTGTTTATTTAATTTTTTTTTGTAAGGCTAACCAAAATAAATTGTGAAAAGGTCAAGTCTGATGTTCTAGAGTTCTTAATGATATTATAGAAGGCTTCATCGCGTACACTCAAAATGGAAATGAAAATTTTCACTTGGAATATTTATTTTCTCTTTTTGACACTTGTCAAACTCACTGTAAAAATAAATAATTTCAGCCTTGCCGGTATTATTTTTTTTTAAATTTCTACTTTTGTGGGTGGCAGACGACTTTTGTTGTGGAATTTGGGCGGCAGACCATATTTTCTGAGCTTTCTATGTTTCTACTAATACGTACAATAAGTTTCGCTTATGCGGCTATAAGTTTTTTTCGTTAATTTTTTGCTGTAATTGTAACCCTCCTGTAACCCCCTGTCGTGTTGGTGCGCCGGCAGACGTTCATAATACTATCATTTACTACACGCATAACACATACAAAAAGAATGAAGCTTGCGGAAATGGTACAATGAAATATGTCGTTAACTCCCAGACTATAACTTTCCTGGTCGGACCATATAAGAACCACTACATTTTACATATTCAATTAATAGCCCTATTATCATCCCCTACCAAGGTTACTGTATTGTCTCTTATTTTTAACCATACATAAAATGTTGTCATTACTGACTTTTAAAAAATTTTAAAATGTCACATTTCTGTCTTTTCATTTTCCTGCTCCATTACCTGTCCCAGGACGGGAAATGAGGACGGGAAATTTTTTCCGTCCTCGTTTCCCGTCCATGGTCGGGAAATGGAGCAGGGAAATATTTCCCGTCCATGGACGGAAAATTGTGCAGGGAAATATTTCCCGTCCTCATTTCCCTCCTCATTGTCCGACCTCATTTGGTTGCACGGAATTTTTTTTTTTTTTTCAAGAAATTATGGTTAAAAATAAAATAGTATACAACCCTCGACGGGAAACTTCATTGCTGTCTCGAAGTTCAGTTTATCTCGACGCTACGCGTCTCGATAAACTATGTAACCTCTCGACCAGCAATGAAACATTTCCCATCTCGGATTATAGTATACTATTTCTATCATTGATAAAGCTGCCTTTACAATGTCAACGTCAGCATCGCTTTCACTTTGAAGAACGGAAATATTCGAATTTTGGAATTTGAAAATTACGGCTGAAACAAAATGCTTTTTATTAATGAAATTACTCGAAAATTTATCCTTAGCTAGTGTCAATACTGTAGTATCTGTAAATACAATGTTTGAACAAAAAGTATTGGCTCTCCGTAGCTGCTCTTGATTCGTTGTCACTTCCGTAACCATCAAATACAATGACACAGTTTGATCCATGATGGAGTAAAACATATTTGACACATCCAGATAAAACCTTAAAGTCTGTTTTTTTTTTAAAGATAATTCCCAAAGTCAAAAATTTAGTAACTATGTTGGCAACACAAACCTTTTCTACATAAAAAATTTGAAAGCATTGACAATTTTACATTGTATTGCCAACATAATGTCATTTTGACTTTTATCTTTAAAAAAAAAAACAGATTTTACCATATGTGGATGGAAATTGCCAAAAAGTTTTATGGAGCAGATGGCCTCAAAGAGAGGATAATTTATCTATGTAGCTAAATAAACTCGATTTGTTCGTTTTTTATATTAATCCCCCCTCAAAAAGAGAAGGTGGGAACGGCGACAGTTCGTACTTGAAACACTCTTAAATTATCCTCTGACTTATGCCCGTATTACATCTGTGTATTTTCCCGTGTTTTTATTCATGTAGTTCAGGGTGCCAACATTATTTTGTTTTTCATAATGCTAATTTATGTTGCGTTTGAAGTTTTTCGGTTGTCACATGTAAACTACATAAATAAATACACGGAAAAATACACAGATGTAATACAGTCATAAGACACACACTATTGTATTAAAGAGCTGATTCAACTATTTTGTTGTTGAATGCAAGATTTTTCACTTTATCGTTTCTTTTAAGTCGAATGTCAGCGAATGTAAGTCAAGTCATGCGTAGGGTAATCTTTTCTCCGAAACTCTATTTTTTCATGTTACTGCAGAATTTTATATCTTGAAAACGGTTGTGCCTAGGAAAGTGAAATAAGCACCAAAATGTGCCTATTTCAATTTTACAAACGCGTTGCCTCTTGACATTTTTTCGATTTTCTTAAGAATTTTAAGTTATTTGGCAAAACTTAAAAAATATGCCAAAATACAAGATGGCGGACCTAATTTCGGGATGTTATGCAACACGGACACTTGGGGACTTTTAGTATGTTCAATAGAAGCCTAAACACTAACTTTTAAAATACATCCCATCTTTATAATAATTTGTTTAGGGTTTACACGTCTCTCAAAATAAGTGTACTGGAGTATTAGATATAATATAAATAATATTGACACTATTGAGTAATGACATGACAAAGGACGTCATTCTGATATGACAAATTTGTATAATTTGTACCGATATGCTCCATCATCGCGAACGTATCGATATACATTTTTATATATCGTATCGATACTCTACCCCAGTTAATCCCAAAATTTCATTGAAAAATGACACTTATAATATGCGGTACTATTTTTAGAGATCGATTATTGATTTCTAGCCCTAGAAACTCTTGTCGCAATGAGAAAAGTTCATTATTTGTTCAGCGAGGATAATAATTGCAAAAGTTTAGCCGCATCCGCTTATTTGTTAAGTACCTACTCAGATATGTTTGACTTTGTGTGTCTTATGAGCATTTTACAATTATACAGAATGGCTGATTATAAGTATGTGAATAAATCTTACCTGACGTAAGAATAGAAATTATACACAAAATACCAGGAAATAACATGTTTGTTCATTCCTCAATTGATCACCGGAGCAGCCCTGCAAAAAAAAGGAAATTTATTAATTTCGCAACGACTTATAGGTATATTAGGTATTCAATTACACAAATCTAGGGGATCTTAGGAAGCAGGCTAATAATATCCTTTTTTCTACAACTGTCAAAAAATGATGATGTTCGCACACTCATGACAGTTTGCGAAGTGACACTTTTTTTCCCAGGTATTGATTTTTTAACGTTCCCATGACGCCGTGCGCGAACTAGCTATTTCGCGCACGTGTGCGCGAAATAGCTAGTTCGCACACTGGGTGTCATAGTGACACATACCTGTCAGGAAATCAAAAATAATTAAAATTCACCTACCTTCGATTGAAAATGCAATTTTGGCTTCGAATGATTGATATTTAAATAGAGTTGTAGAAAAAATATTGTTTGTAACTCGGGCGCGAAATACTTTGGTGATCTCGACTATTTTTTTAACTCGGCTGCGCCTCGTTAAAAAAATCAGATCTCGATCACCAAAGTAGCATTTCGCGCCCTTGATACAAAAATAACCATTTTGTTAGAAATTTTCGCTTCGCAGTTTTATATGTCAAGCACAACTAGTTTTTTGAAATACCTAGTTAGTTTTGTACAGCCCGCCGCGAAATGAGCTTGGCTTGAACTGGAACCAATTCGGGCACTAGTGGTATAAGTGAAAATTTTAAACCTGTATTTCAAGCCAATCAAAGGCATTGTGATACCTGTATCTACAACTGTGCGATAGCTAACGACTGACAACCCACACTATAAGAGCTTATCACTTGTATTATCATACTAGTCATGTGATAAGCTCATTACTAGTTATTTGATATATTAAATCACTAGTGATATAATGAGCTTATTACGTAGCTCATTTTTATTGAAAAACTGCACTTTCAGAAATTCATTTATCCGAAATATGTATAAATAATAAAAGTAAAACTAATATGTACCTACCTTATTATGATGACAGCACCTGGTGGTCAATTTTTGACCGTTCGCAAATATAGAAACGTATGTAGATTGTTCCTAAATCTGCGAACAGCCACAAGTTCTAATTTTTGGCCGTTCGCAAAGTTTCGTATGCGCATATTTTCATTCGCTTTTTTGCGAGCGGTATTCTAGTCGCTTTATTCGGTTTGCGTATTCGTTTTTCTTGTGTCAAGTGGGAATGTTAGGTTGTTTTTGTTTGTCAATTTTTTTGATAGCGATTTTATCATTGGATTATTGTGTATCTACTATCTCTGTATCTGGGAGGGTGGTATATGGTATGCTACAGCTCTTAGCCACAATTATGCCCATTGTACGCCTCCACAAGAAGAGAGGTCATCATTAGCGCGTCAACCAGCCTAGCGATTCTACGTAGGCGATGACGTCGCCGAAGTGATGGGTACGATTCTAGTGATGGGTACGATTGGCCTAATCTGGCTCTGCATATTGGCGAAAGAGCAGTGCAGTCACAGAGAATGTGCTCTATTGTCTCGTCTTCTTGATTACAAGGTGTCTCTACTATAATTTGGAAAACTTGATGAATGTACTGGCAATTCGTAATTTGGACCTTGGATTTATGCTTAACCCGGGGGTGACTTGCTATTGAGAAACCGGTCCAAAGACAGTTTATTAAAGGGTGTTCATTTGTACTTGTTCTACCTGCTCAAAAAATCAGGAAGATCTGCTAGGAGCTGCTATTTATGAGCTTATATGAGACAAGTGAACGCCGATGTACTGCTGAGATCTGCTTGAAGCAAGAAAAGCAGTACAGATTACAAATAAACACCCTATTAATATGTTCTGATTGTCGAAAGAGCTTGTTAGATACTACTCATAGGTCTGGATTGCGTTGACATTTTTCGCAAGCGGTAGCTATCAACCGGATTAGCTGTAGCTTGCTTTTCACATACTTCACAAGTTTCCTTTGCTTTTCACTGGCATTCGAACCCCTTTTCTTTTAGTTTTTGTCACTGCTTTCTTCCATAATTTACCACTATCGTAAACATCCACAATTCTTCAAACTTTTGAAAAAGGCAAAAACATGTCAAAAATTTGTCAAACATTCTAAAATTTCCGACGTTGTCAAATCAACCATACGTATGTTTACGAATTCGTATTATCTACGTTTATCCATTTACGCACACCGGTCAAAAATGGGTTTATAGATACGTATACGTTTATTTTTGTTCGCAAATCTTCGAATCCGCAATTTAACGTATATTGTCAAAAATTGGCCCCCACAAGGTTTAGTTGGCGATATAGTCCGTCCAAATGATGGTAACGCAACGGTGACCACAAGACACAATATATCTGTTTCATAATGGCTATGTTCCGCGATATCAACTGCCAGTACTGGATTTACTGTGTTGATTTTACTGTCATTTGCCGTTCGGATTTCAACAGCGTACTCTAGAGGTCATTCAGTACTGAATTAGTTAGGGTCGATACTTTTGCTCTCGATTAACGAATTTGATACGTTGTCAAAGTTTTGCATGGGCCAAGGTCTATATAAGTATGATGTGGTTAGAGCACATTCAAAGCCCTGATTATTTTTAACGGCTGTCAAATGAGAGCAAAAGTACCGGCACTAAAAATAATATCGGAACGGCGTCCAGTAAATTCAGTGACAGTTGATATCGGAACATAGGGAATGTGTGGTTTTGCCAAAACCGTTGATCAAGCATCAAATAATTCAATGTGGTCAACCCGCAACTATAAGTTTGATAACCAGTGGCCAGTGCAGATTACCACGTTATTGTGAAACTGGGCTTAATAGTCGCAGGTTGACCACAAGTTTGCAAATACGGCTTGAGTTAAAAATTCTGTAGCTTGACCAATGGTTTTTGCTAAACTTTATAATATGAAACAGATATATTGTGGTTTATGTCAGTGTCTTGTAGTTACTGTTGGGTTACCGCTGTTTGTAAAACTGTGCCCTAAGGCAGTCTATACTTTCTAAAACTTATTTTATGATGGAAGTGGGAGAAAATCTCCAAATACACTCAAAATATAGACCAAATTTGTTTTTTTTTTCTTCTAACATAAATCAACCATTGCATTGCATATTGATAGCATATTATATCGTAGGTACACAATATATTCAATATATTAAAAATCTGAATAGGAAAGAAAATTCTGTGTTGATGGAAGCTGAAAAATGAAATAGGTATCTAACTTGACGCATGACCTAGATCACCAAAACGAATTGGCTAAAAGTTCAAAAGTTGGTTATCCTCTAATTAAATTTAATTTAAATTAAATTTTCAATTTAGTTTAATTCGAGCAATAAAGAATTTCACCAAAACCCTCAGTACCTACCTACAAATTTTAAAATCAATAGGATCGTTGAAATTGGGTTAAAGCCGTATTTCTAAAGCAGTTGAAAGGTTAGGGTTTGTTTTCAACGGAAGCATAATCACGTGAACTAGCAAATAATTTCCATTACCACACAATAGAAGCTGTGTCTATAGCAACATTTAGGTACCTACCTTAGTTTCATCGAGTTCTAAAACTGCCTTTTAAGAAATGGCAACATTTCATTTTTTAGAGAAACACATTTTTAATATTCAGCAGTAGGTACCTGAGTATAAGTGTGCATGTATAAAATTAACGATCAATGAAGCTATAGATTTATAGACAAACAAGAATAAGTCAACTATTGTATGTATTAAGTTATAGGTAGGATTTTATTAATTATTATAGTAGGTACCTATAGTATGTTTGTTTTATTCATTTTAAAACTAATCGGACTACATAAAATACAATTCTTACTTGAATCTCATATCTTGGAAATTTTAAAGGTATATTTAATGAACAAACATCCAACTTTTCGTGTTCACACCTTGCAGCTGGCCGACCCAAACGTAACGTCCGTAGCCACAGCTGACTAAAACTGATGTCCCAAATTCCAGATTTTTGCTTCTTCCCGTAAGGGAGCTACGCTGCGCACTCTACGACGCAGGGTATGAGAGGGGTTCTTTTCCAAGGTATTATGATGTATGTGAGCCTGATGAATACGGAAAACATAAGAGAGAATTTTTTAAGCCAGGGCTACAGAGAGAGTGCAGAATCTGGATAGAATATTCAAAAGCGCCTTAATTTGAATATATGCCAATAATAATTATGACATAATATAAAGCAGAAAGCTAGCAGGTCATAATAATTATTGTTATTCGCAATATTAACTTTACTTAAGAAGTGTTAAGAATGTAAGTTTAAATAAAATCTTTGTAAATATCACAAAGTTGCATTTATTGATAGGATCGTAACAGTTCTTTATGAACCAAAGGGGAAATTAAAGCACGAGGCGCACCTGAGAGCTTTCACCACGCCAAGGGCCTCAAATACCATTTGCGCCTGTGGGTATTATACAAGATTTTAGTTACGATCACGAGTAAATCGGGTATTCTTTAAATTCAAGTATCATGTTGTCCAGCCTTCATAGTGGGGTAAGATAGGTAAGAAAAGTTTTGGGTCTGACAACCGATGCGCCCGTTTGGGTTCAGATAGAACATGGGTAGACGAGTCCAAAAAGCCGGGACACAATTTTGTGGCCCTATAGCGGCGTTGATGACGTAATCAATATGCCCCCAATTTTTCTGTGACATGATTGTACCATCGTCACCAAAAGTATCTGGGACACAAATAATGCATAATAATCTCCTGGACTAATTCTACTGTCATTCATTTCAATGCATTTAATTCATAGTTTGACAAATATTTGACAATAAAATTTATATAATAGGACAAGAGCTAATGTGATGCTGTCCCAGTTACTTTTGGTGACGATGGTACATTTCCCTATAACTCAAGTTTGTATTCTGATATCAACCTATATTATAGTGATTATTAATCAAGAGGAGACGCGCATTCCAACGGTATATTGCATATCATCATTTACGCACATATACTTGCAACTTTATTTAAATTTTTGATTTTCATTTTTACGAAACAATATGCTAAATAACTTGGAATCCGTTATAGTTGGCTGAAAATATGTCGTATTGAGGAAAACCACCTATCTATATATATAAACGTGAAATTCACTCACTCACTGACTGACTGACTGACTGATTAAACACGAAATCTCGAAAACTACTAAACCAATCGAGATGAAATTTTGCAAACAGCTAGGTAATAGGTTGGAGATGCTCACTAAGATATAATATCAACATAGCCTTAAGCAATCGCCTTAAATAACCAAAAATAAGAAACGGTGTGGTGCGGGAGTGCGGGGAAAAGAGTGTAAACAGAAACAGACGACTTGTCAGCTGTCAAATTCAGAAATATGACAAGCAGAAACAAATTCATAGCAATTTCCATTTGCAGAATCAGTGCAAAAAAAAAAATGTGTTTTTGTCGTTATATTTTCATGCTTTCACCAGAAACGATTCGGAACCGATTCTGAACAAATTCCACCGGTCCCAGGCTAAGGTATAAGGTCTTCAAAAAAAAACCAATCGAAGATTGCTTTGATTTCAAAAACGTACGTCGCATTCCTGTTTCTTTATTCGTCAGGATTTTTGACATTAGGTATATTTTGACAGTAAAGTTCATTGACAAAATTAAAGAAAAATATAGTTAAGACATACGTTTAAAAAACCATAGCAATCTTTGATTGTTTTTTTTTTTTGAAGACCCGATACCTTCAAGTTTGAGACATAATATTCGCAATTCGTTCACGTATTCGAAAGTCTGGAGCAAGGTTCTGGAGTTTTTGTTCGGTTCCAAAACTGTTCGCGTTAAAATAGGAACCTGAACCCATCAGGTCCGGCTCTAGGTATTGTGCCGCCCTGGGCGAAGAGTAAATTTGCCGCCCCATCCCATAATGGCTTAAGCCTTAAGCGACCCAAAGAAGAAAGTTTCAATGCAATAGAATTTAAGAATAAATATTTAAACCGCATCCTGCTGATTCTTGCTACGATGAACCGTTTTCAGGTTGGAGCGGTTTAAAGTGACGAACGTGTCGGCTGTGACGCCACACCGGCTTCACAGGCACAGTTAAAATACGTGTAAAATTTTGCAAAACAAAAGTCAACGATCTCACGGTTGCGATTTCGGCGGTAAGCCGGTGTGACGTCAGTAGTTCCCGCATAATTTATCTTTATAAGGGATTATCTCGGAAACAATTTTGAATATAGGACTGCCGTTTTCACGAAAGATCTGAGACTTTCTTTATTGATTTAAAGGAGGTGTGAGCCAACTATGAAAGTTTTGGTGCAAAAAAATCTAAGAATAAATATTTATACCGGATCTTACTACGATGGTCCGTCTTCGAGTTAGGGCGGTCTAAAGTTACAGCTAGGTGTTTGTGACTTCACACCGAACTATCAGGCACAGTATTAACACGCGTAAACATTTTCCAAAACAAAATATAATTATCTCACCAGAGCGAATTGCAACCACCCAAGTATAGGGTACGGTTCACTGACGACTGAACGAACAGAAGACTGCGATTTCGGCGGTTGTGACATCACAAATTCCTGCATAATTTATCTTCACAAGGAATTTCCTCGGAGACTATTTTTTGAATATAGTACTGCGGTTTTCACGAAAGATCTTTGATTTTTTTTCTTGATTTAAGTAGATAAAGTCGTTTTTTAGGGTCACACCTCCCCCTTTAAGTAGCCTAATTTGTTTTTTTCTTTGGATCACGCCCCCTTTAAGAAGAATGTCAAGGGCGCATAGATAATGGGGTTAAATTAAACGCATTACTAACCGCTTACACTTGATATGTTTTTATTAATTTTAATTCAGAGAAACTTCTTTCACCACTTCTTGCAACGATCAGGGGCCGTATTCTCGTCGCCGGGAACAGCGTTCTCTCAAAAGAACGATTGCTCTGTCTTAGTCAACCGTATTGTTATTTCCATATAATACTGAAAAATACAGAGCAATCGTTCTCTTGAGAGAACGCTGTTCCCCGGTGACGGAATACAAGCCCTAGCAGTAGCGCACCCAGAAAATATGTTTGGGGAGGCCCTACATATAGGTTGTGGCTTGTGACTGAAAATCTTCAAAAAAAAATCAGGTGTCAGGGTGCCACGCCTTGATGTTGATATTTTTAAACGTAAAAATACAGTTTTGAGGAGTGGCCTGGGGGGGGGGCCTGGCCCGATAGCCCCTCCCCTTGGGTGCGCCACTGAGCCCTGGACAATGTAAATAAAATTTTGAGGGTCTCCTGAGGGCTACAACAACATTCCGTGCAATATCCAGTTGGACTGCTAATTTTACCACATCAATAAGGTTTTTGTTGGGCTCATCTAATGTAGATTTACAAGTAGTTTATCAGCCAATTCTGCCGCATTCACATCGAAACAATTTTCATGCATGAGAACATGTTCTAAATTTTTGTAATATTCCAATAACTTTTCTGATGAAGTTTTTTGTAGTAAATGGAGATTACATAAGAAGTTAGAATGCCCATGACCTTGCACTTTTGATTGTTCAAAATTTGGACACGATTTTTTTTTAAGTCGCTTGGTTTTATTCCCTATTTTTGTTGTTGTATGTTGCGAATTTGCCGCCCCTGGACCGTGCCGCCCTGGGCGGCCGCCCACTTTGCCCCCCCCCCCCTTAAGCCGGCCCTGGAACCCATTCACAAGTTGGGTTTGAGTTGCTCACTCCGAGTTACTCCGATCGCACTCCAGCCGTTATCTGATAAGCTAAAAGGTAATACCCGAACGGCTGAAGTGCGAACGGAATCACTCGGAGTGCACGGAGTGAGCAAGCCGAACCCAGCTATAACTGGGCATGCGCTTTACGATAGTCCTCAATTAGTTCCGGACTGGTTCGGAATCGGTTCATAATATGATCGCTATTAGCAGCGAGTGGCACTTCAAAAAAATTTAACGTCAGCTGTCAAAAAATAGTCTTTATATTCTGCAGCCACAAAGCAGAACAAAAAATGTGGTTTACAGAGAGGTTCTGCAAAAATAAGAGTTACATGACCATATGTCTGACGCAACTATCCCCTCAGCTCTTTGAAAGAAGATTACCTAATGCTACCAACACCCTACACCTACAAAATTTGTATAGGGCGTGCGAAGCCGCGGGCAACAGCTAGTTTAAAATATTATTTATTAAAATCTTAACTTTTTAAAAAAATGTTTACTGAATGAAAATAAATGTTGCAACCATGTATGCGCCCTCAAGTTTAGGATTGAACGAGCGCGCCACAGAAAACGAAGGTACCGAAACCGAAGAAGATACAAGAGAACACGCAACTAGACTACAGAACGAGCTGGACTGGTCCCTTAGAAAACTTGTCGCGTGTCTGTAATTATTCATTATTCAATTTTCATTTTTATTTTGCATTAAAATTGATTGTTCAATCCAATTTGTTATTAGTGTGTGTGTAAGAAGCGTTCACAGGTTAGTTGATTAATTATTATTTTGTTTGTGAGAGTTCAATTTATGTAATTTTTACCATTTTTATGTATTTTTTGTTTATTTACAACATTTTTTATAACATGTGCATTGTTCATGTATTTAACAAAAATCGTTCCATGCTGTAAACAACACGGATAAAGAAGTAAATTAAAACCTAAGAAATTATGTGCTGTCTTTTTGTGCTGAGATTTTGATTTTGTGTATTCAGAACGTGCATTAGGGCCTTGTTGAATTTGCTAACATTTTCCTACCCTGACGAGAGAATATCCTAGCAAATTGAGAAAAATCAATCTAAAGTTCATCTCACGAAACGAGATAGTGAAAGTAAACAAACTTTGACAGGTAAGTCGAATTTTATTGGCTAGAAAAGGATTATACTCCGCCCTAGGCAGGAACGTCTTAGGTTGTTTTGTATTTCTCTTCTCTGAATATATTTCCGAACGAATTTTTCAGCGGAATCTGTTGAACTTTATATTGTTTTATTCTGAATTGGTCACTTATTAAAAATAATTCACCAAACACTATTTAAATAATTGTAAAATACTAGGAAATATGACAATAAACTTATTGACTCATATGACAACCTGACAATAATAAATGTCATTAGTTGTAATTCATATTTTTGCAGTCCTTCTCTAAATTTTTAAGGTCCGCCTGTTTGTTTACCTCTACTATCTCGTTTCGTGGAATGAACTTTAGAGATATTGGCTCAAAAACAACTATAGCTGTGAGTTACCGTAACCAGGGTACCTGCCACAGATGGACTAACTAACCAAAAACTCTTCAGTATCAAATACAGGTAGTGTTGATTGAATGTAGTGTGTGTAATTAAAATTTTAGCACAAGAACAGGAGCGGTACCTAGTTTCAACTTTTATTGAATTAATGACTCACAGTTATTATTAAAAGCACACAGTATGTTTCGATTTTTGAGGAATGTTAGGTCGAGGGTTTCTCTGCCGTGCTCTTTCCCCTTGTTACACTGTGAAATTTTTTTCATTGTCATAGCTAATTTTTCTGCTGCCGTAGCCAAAAATTTTGGCTACATAGGGGACAGCCAAGATCTTTAGGTACTACCGCCGAAAAGATAACTTTACTGGCACCGTTTATTTGCGGTAGCAAAGTGACTTTATAAAGAATTTACTCACAGTTTCTACAAGGTCACTTTGCTGGCATAGAAAAGCTACTTTGCTGTCGTAGGAAAGTAACTATGCTGTCCTAGAAAAGAGGTTATATTCCCTCAAAAACATCCTTTTTTGCTATTGAAAAGTAGATTGCTAAGACAGAAAAGATATTTATTTACAATCATACATGTAATGTTGACTTTACTGACTTTTAAAAAGTTCGAAAATGTCACTTTTTTGACTTTTACTTTCGACCCGTGGGCCGAAAGTAAATGAAATTTTTAAAATTTATTGTATTCTTTGACTTTTACTTTCGGCCCACGGGTCGAAAGTAAACTTTCGACCCGTGGGCCGAAAGTAAATGAAATTGTCAATTATTGTATTTTTTAGTTTTAATTCAAATAAAAATTTCAAAATTCGAATGATTGTAAATAAAATAGTATACATACCTCGGTGAAAAGTTTCATTACTGTCTCGAGATTTTAGTTAGACCTCGGCTGTGCCTCGGTCTAACTAAAATCTCTCGACAGTAATGAAACACTTTCCACCTCGGTATGTAATATACTATTGTTGTTGTTATTAGAAATGCTTCCTGAAATAGGAAAGCGTTTGTCTCAGAACAAAAAATTTCTTGCCAGAATCAGCCAAGTGTTTTATTAGCCATGGGAAGTTATTTGTCTCACCAATAGCAAAAATATTTTGCTGGAAACCTTTGGAAATATGTAGTAGCGCGTCCATCATAACAAAACCAGGAGATAAACAAACTCTATTTAAACCCCTAAACTTTCATTACCTGATCTGAAATAATATCAATTAATGAAAAGTTTGGCGCTAGAGTTGTTTCTGCTAGTTTTGATGGATGCGCTGGCACCATTTCCAAAAAGATTCCCAGCGACCGACACTCGACTTGACTCGACAGCATCCACGATCCACACCGTACGGCGTTAGCTACTAAACTAAAATGGAAGAAAATGAACACGAAACATATTTTATCGGTTATTTTTGGACCCGAAGAAATCACGGAAATGTCCGAACGGTATTTTTAGTTAAGTTATTTGGCTAGGGTAGCAAAAAACATTACTGTAACAATAACAAAAATTACAGGATTTTTTTTTTGCTGCAACAGTAAAGTATCTATCTATCTTAGAAAAGTTCTATTTCGGAGAAGCAGAAATATTTTCATAAAATTTTAATTTTGCTATAACAGCAAAGTTTGGTTTTGGAATAAGAAATATCTTTGCAGTTTCAATAAAGTAGTTTCAGCAAAGTGGTCTTTTCTGTAGAAGCAAAATAACATTGCTACCTCTAAAACATTTTCCACTGTAACAGCTAAAAAAAAAACAGCAAAGAATTTTCTCCTGGGACTTTTCTCAGTGTAGTTCCAGGATGAGAACGGTACGATTTACTTTAATAATAAAGTAGATGTTTCACAAATTTTTCGTTTCTTTTACATATCACAACTCCCCTTAAATTTCCCAAATATTTGCTATGTCGGGCGCATGTCCAGTAAGTAAAATTGAGTAAGTTTCCTCAACGTAGGTCCTATTTGTTTTTAATTTCATTTTTCAGAAGATTTGTTGTTTAAAAGGTAATAAAAATTCACACCGTTTAATCTTACTGAACGAACCCGGGTATGTTATACTACATTAGGTCTGAATTTTGATTAGACCCAACCATTAAACCTAAAAACCCTTCCTGACTGTTGTCGTCTTCTTCTGAACTTGACTCCTCTGTTTCTTTCTCAACTGACCTAACACTTTTATTTTTACATGCTTTGGACCAATGCCCGACCTTTTTCCATCGTGAGCAAGTTGTCCTCCGTGCAGGACACTTTTCCCTTGAGTATGGTTCTTTGTCACAAAAATAACATTCTGTCTCTTCCCTATTCTGTGACCAGGGCGGTCACAGAATAGGGACAGGGCGTCCTCTGCTTGCCCTTAGGGTTTCTCTGCTCTTTTCTTTTACCCATGGCAGACACATCTTTTCCTGGGCATTCGCTATTTCTTAAAATATTGCTCTGTTTTAAAAGCATTTCAGATTGTTTTGTCTTCACAATCGCATCCTCTAATTATAAATCAGATTTAAGCTGCAATCTATCGCTTAAATCTTGGTCCAAAATACCATTCCGATCTCTTATAAAATCGTTTTTCATAGCCGTAGAGCTACAAGTTGAGCAAACAAATTCACAATGCTCCGACAACACATGCAAATCGTTATGAAACTTTCTACAGGCTCACCTGGCTGTTGTTCTATTCTATTGAAACGTGCCCTCTCAAAAACTACATTTTTCTTAGGAAAAAAATAGGTATCAAAACCAGCCAGTGTGGCTAGAAAATTGTTTGGTGTAGGATCTGGAAATTGAAGTAATATGTTCTCACTCTCTGGCCCCATAATATAAATCAGAATATCGATTTTCTCTGCATCAGACCTATTACTTAACCCCGATACTGCTAAGTACCTCTCGAACTTTCTTTTCCAGGTATTCCAACCTCCTGGCTCTCGAAAATTGAATTTATCTGGGGGTTGTACATGCCCACCATGGTTTGCCATTCTAAGTCTTGCACTGCCACCAGCACCTCCCATACCTAGAACAATGTTACCTTCTGACCCATACTGGCCCCTATTTAGCCACTTCCGGTCCTTGTTTGATCACCTCCGGTTTGTCCTTCACCACCGGTCCTAGTCTGGCTACCTTCTGCGCCTGGGTTGTTTCCCACGTTGATCATGGTTCTATTTCTGCCCATTCCACAACTGTACCGTCTTTATATCACTACTTTTGCTCGCAAAAATTTCAACTTCCAACTTTTACCGCTGCCACCATGTTTTAGCGGAGGTTTCAATGAATGGTAACACAGTTGGTTGGGATATTTTAGGTACTTTATTACAGATTACAGCTATGCAAAATATAACATAAAGGAACAACGTCCGTGATGACAATAATTAAAGTTGGCGATTTTCAATTCCCTTTTTAACCAGTATTACCGGTAAACTAAAACTGACGCTGATACAACAAATAGAACGTGATTTTTTCCTGATAAAAAAGTCCCCGATGTATTAGGATACCTATCACCAGTACCTAGAAACAATACGATATATCGGTGTTTTAAACCAATTTGCGAGGTACCTACAGTTTTTGAAAAATATTTTGGTTTAAATCATTCTAAACTTCTTATTATTCTTATTTTATTAACTTACAAATATGGGAAAACTATGCTTTTGGTAATTCATAATAAATTACTACGTTTTTCGTATCATTAAGCCCTACTTCACTTTCTCTTCGATATTTCATGATACCTATTAACGTGATAAGAATTTACGCATCAACTTTTATTGCATATGATTTATGAGAGACGCGCATTATGGAAGCCCGCCTGAAGGCGGTCATTGAGGTATCTATCGAGAATGACGCTTTATCTTATCTTTAAACAGTGACAAACATTCCTAGAAAGTATAGCAGATTAAATATTTTGGTTAGGTTTCAAGACAAATTGATATATGAAGTGCAAAGGTATTCATAATTCTTACTTTGAAATTGTGCAGCACATAAAGTGAATAACGTAGCGTTATAAAATTAGTTTAACCAAGGTGAGTAGGTAGTTACTTAGATATGAGAAGGAATTTTTATATGTTTTCTCATTTCTTATATTAGGGTAAATATTTGAAATATGATACGTCAAGGGCGTTTCATTATTACTCCAAACAATAGTCTGTATGATAATTTCCCATTAACCCAAATTGATAAGGTATGATCGTTGTAGCAAACAAAAGTTCCATTAGAAAAATTTGCTTTTTAGAAGTCTAAACTGGAAATATGAGAGTAAAAGTCTTCCCCTCTCGGATTTTAAGCAATGTTTGTGTTTGTGCTGTCGCTGCCATGCGTTTGGAGTATGAAATGATATTTGTGTGTACTCTATATCTATATCTGTTTGATAAATAAAATATATGAAGCGAGGGAAGCACTTACGAGTTAATCAAGTATCAAATAAACTCTAACAATATTAAATTATCAACTAAAGTCTATAAAAATGTGTTTTTTTTTTCTAATTGTCGCCGTTCCGCAAAATTTATTTTCATATGAATAAACAGGTGAACATAAAGACATAATAACTACTACTTAAGCGGCGTTTCCACAAGCATAGTTTATTGGTGCCAGTGCATGTGCCAGTTTGCTAGCGTAATAATAGTGACGCCAGTATTTGTTTCCACTTGATATTAAAAACTTTTAACTGGCGCAGTAGAAAAATGAAAAATAGCGTCAACTTTAATGGTTCAAGAAGGTAATAATGTTGCTGTAGATATTTTGTTTCTAGAATTATTGCAAAAGACCCGAAAAAACAAGAAGAGACAGAAACACAAGATCTGGGTACGAAACGACACAAAAACGACAAGTGAAAACGTGTGTTTGTGTGTTGACAAGCTGTCACACATGGCAAACTGGCGCCAAAAAGTAGACCTCCATTCTACTTTACTGGCGAATGAATGTGGCGGCAGTTAACTGGTGCCAGTTATTTTTCCGCGTTTCCACGTGCCAGAAAAGTTACGCCAGTAGACTGGCGCCAATAAACTATGCATGTGGAAACGCCGCTTTACATTTGAAAATTAACTTTCCCTGTCATTATCAAAAAAGGTTTCACAGATCTTATTGTAAGTACCTATTATAAGGGTTCTTTTGTCTTTGGAACGTCACCATAATATGCAATTTTGTGAATTTAAAACACTTATGCCGCTAAAAATCAAATTAAATTGACCTTTTGTTTGAACGCCATATGGCGGTGCGCGAACATAGTTGCCAACAGTAGAAAAAAAAATGACTAGCGTTCTGTCAACAGTGTCAACTTTAAAATCCAAAGTTAGTGAATAAATTACATTTGAAATTTAAATTTGCCGCCTATTACGAATGTTTTTGGAAAGAAAAGCCATCAATTTTAGGTTGTATTGGGCAGAATAGAAATAATAAAATATCTAGTTGACAGCCCGCTAGTAATTTTTGGTTTTCTTGTTTTGGCAACTATGTTCGCGCACCGCAATATGGCGTCGAAACAAAAGGTCAATTGAAAAACATAACATTTAAAAATCGTAGTAATTGAACAATCCATCAATAATGCACACTGGTATATTATTTTTAGTACCTACTTGGAAGTACCAGTCGTTTTAGTGATTTTTGTGATTAGTACGTGATTTTTTGTTCCATCTGATTCATGATTGATAAACAAGGATGTGGTTATTCCAAATGGGTATTAAAAATACTATGCTAAACTACACAGATATTGTCGTATCTAGGATAATAGGGCATCTCCTTCGGTAAATTAAACTCACTCGTCTTCCAAAAAAAGTTCATGTGTTGCAGGAAGACAATCGATCACGTTACATTTAAATAACATTCCATTGCAATTTGAACGAATTTTTAAATTATTAATTTGTACGGACATGAAACTGAAACCCATGGAAGGTCAATGTCGACGACAGGTCATCGGTAGTTATTGTAATTAGAAATCACGTACCATGGTTGCTCGACTAACATAAAATAAGGGGTTTTTGGAAGACGAGTGAGTTTAATTTACCGAAGGGAGATGCCCTATTATCCTAGATACCATAACATGGTGCGTCGATAAGACAGGACAAGAAACACAGACAAATTATAGTTTCGATTCAGAAAATTGTATTTAAAAAAACATTTATTAAATTTATTAAAACACATAGTCAAACCACAGCTTGTCAAACTATGCGCAGCACAAGAAGACTCAGTACGTAATAACTATTATACCTTCAGCAGGTTTTTTTTTTCAAATAATAGTTGGAAGGTGATTATTTTGCTCTACTAGTTCAGTTCGAACAATGATACTATGACTGAAATTTTGCCATTGAAAATATGTTTGTTATCCTAGTATTGGGCCAAATCGCGAAATAGTGCATGCTACATTTGCCACATGACGTCACACGTCAAATCATCAATGTCCATCCATTTTTATCACATAAACTTTGCATTTTACTTCATCGTTTTAAAGGTCCCCTCGGTTTCATCTTTGCGAACGACTGTGAATTTTAACATTGAAAATATTTCTGTTATCCTAGCATGGAGGCCCAAATCATTGTCACATGTGGTCTTTTTCATAATAGTAGGTAGTAGTGTAGAATAGAGATAATAAATATGAGTTTTGCAGGTTGCTCCTTAGGAATGATGTGAAGAATGTCACGCAAAAGCACAAACAAAAGTTCCGCTTCCAGTCGAATGATCAGAATTACCGTTGTAGGGGATGGTGACATCGGAAAAACTTGTTTACTTCTTGTTTACAAGGACAAAAAATTTGATGATAGATATATCCCAACAATGTAAGTAATACATGACGGGTGGTATGAATAAAAACGAAGTATCTGCTACTACAACAATAAGTATTCATCCATGCAAAATCCTTAACATTTTTAATATAAAAAAACTACTAATTTCCATTGATTAAATTTTTGTTCTAGATTTGATGAATACTCCATGACGATTCCGATCAACTACGAACCGTACACAATTATTCTATCTGATACGGCAGGCCAGGAAGAGTTCGACAAATTAAGACGGATGGCTTATCGCTTTGTATGAGATTGAAGACTTGCGAAAATTAAAAAGTTTTTTCAAAGCGTTTTTATTTCAGGCTGACGCTTTTCTAGTATGTTACTCTATTGCCGAAAGGAATTCGTTTGAAAATATTGTTCATACATGGGCACCAGAACTTAGGAGATGTAGGGCTGAGGCGAAAATAATATTAGTTGGTGAGTACATTTTTAGAGCCTATACTGGAAATTCAAGGCAGGCAAGCTTTTTTCTCTTCGAACATTGAATAATACATTCATTCTTGCTCTATATTGAACTGATTAATGATACGAATTCTACACACCCCATGAATTCTAAACCGGAATCCACGGCCTATAGACCAATCAGTCTCCGTATTTTTAGAATACACGCGGGTCGCAACGAGACAATGCAAACATAACATAATTGACGTCTGCTGCAGTGTCGGGTCTAGGGGGGGGGGGGGGGCGCCCCCTCTTGATAGCCACAAATACTACTAAATTTTTTTTTTAAATCATATAGAAAAATTTTATAACATAATTTTCCAATAAAATGTTATTGGAAAATTTTCCAAGCTACACTATTGTTCAATTTATTGTTTTGTTTTTATCAGATAAATGTGTTGTATTTTTATTTGGAATAGGTTTTTACATTTGTTATTTTCGGTTTTTAGATAAACTCTGTTTTTTTTTTTTAAGATAATTCCCCAAGTCAAAAATTTAGTAACTATGTTGGCAACACAAGCCTTTTCTACATAAAAAATTTGAAAGCATCGACAATTTTACATTGTATTGCCAACATAATGTCATTTTGACTTTTATCTTTTAAAAAAAAAACACACTTTATGTGCAGGGTTATCCAATTTAGACATTTTTGTTAGAAAAACATCAATTTCTGAGCGAGATACAAAAAAATCAACCCCCACTCTGAGACTCAAATTTTATGATATCTTGAACCGTTTTGTGGCTAGAGAATCCAGTGAGTTTCTTAGTTTTTTTTTCTATTTGTTCCCGACCGAATTTGAGATACTAACCAGAGTCCAATTGTTTTGATGGGACACCGGACACCTATAGGACACCATATATCAATAACTGATTGGATAGCTCTGCTTTTGCTGCTTTCAATGATATAAAGTTCGATTGGTTATATCTATTTGGGAAAAAGAAACAATGTGTTAGAAGACGACTTTATATCTATAAGGAAAATGAGATAGGTCTCCTTCTAACACATTGTTTCTTTTGATTGAAACATCTATAATTTTTTTTCTAGAAAACTGTTAGAGATAGACCTATTAAACCTTATATGTATCATTAAAATAAGCAATAATAGAGCTATCAATGAGTTATTGATATATACCTAGGGTTTAAAAAAAAAAAAAAGACAAATTAAAAAAATTGAGTATGTCATTGAATTCTGCTCGGAAATGTACCTCTAAAGTTTATACTGAATTCAATTACCTATTATTTTCATAAATAAAAAAGTTAGGGAGGTTTCACCTTATTGCTCAAAATCAAGAAACATCCTCTAGCGGCAAACAGCGTGGTCATTCCTCATGATTTTACATGAGATCTCATGTTTTCATTGTCCATCTCATGCTCTCATGCTTCCAAGTAAAAAACTCATGATTTTTTATCTCATGGTTTGATATCAGATAATGTTGGTTTTTTGCATTTTGTCGTGAATATTTCTGGTTATCCAGTTTCAAAAACCGCCTAAACCCAAAGTACAATAGCTGGTATTTGAAGAACGAAACAATATATTGGGTCCAATAACTGTACCAAATTTTAACATTGATAACACATTTATAAATAAGAAGAAACCCAGTATATACAGCACCAATATAGTGAAAAAGTATATACATTTACTTAAAAATCTTTAATCAAATAGAATGTAGCTGTGATTGAAGAAAACACAAATGTTCTTTCTGTCTTCTGTACTAAAATAGGTTCCCTTTTTTTTGTGATGTGACGTATTTTCGTCGATAGTTTGTTTTATTTTGACTGTTTTTTTTTTAAATCAAAGATGGTATGAAACAAGATCACGAGTTTTAACACATTGAGTGCCACGGCCATTTTGGGTTTGTTTCCCAGAGGGCCACATGTTTTTTTGAGTTTGACTTTCAAAATACGTTAGCTTTAGACGTTTTCTGATATCTTTTGTGTGATTCAACTGTCAAAAGAGGTTTTTAACGTGTCACCCTTATATGGGTGACGTGGCCTGCCAGTTTGTAAGTCGTTCATTTTTTCAGATTATAAGCAGAAAATGTAGAGAATTTTTTATTTTTTTTTCACTTTCAATTATTATTTATTTGGTCTCCCATGTTTCAATGCAATACATTCGTAAACATTTTGATTTGCCTAGTTTGTGAGTCGTTTATTTTTTTTTATTATAAGTAGAAAGTGTAGAGATTTTTTTTTCACCTTTAATTATTATTTTTTTTGATGATGTTCATGTTCATCTTCAAGTTTTGCTATTAGAATTATGGTATCTGGCAGTTTTTGAATAACATTTTTTTTTTTCCCACTTTTCCCTTCCATTTTTTTTCAATGCCCGTAGAATATGTAAATTTAAAGATTTCCCAAAACCAAGTATATTACAAAGTTTCTCAGGGGGCCACCTTTCAGAATCCCTATTGAAAATACACTGATCGTCGCCTATATTTGTATGGCGCGGCCTGGCGCGGAGTTATGCATGCAGGCCATGTCGCCCATATACGTATGACGCGGCCCACCGGCAAACATCACTGTCACCCATATATGTATGACGTGGCAACCAATGTGTTAAACAACTGTTTTTATTTATTTTTTAATGGCCCCTCATGTTTTCAGCTATTTCATCAAAACACAGATAGACGGATCATCTCATTCATAAACTGATATTTGTTGTGTTGACAAGACCATCCATGTGCCAGGGAAGGTGAGTTGCTCGTAGGGTCGGGGTAGGGAGACATCATTGCTCAAAATGGTGTAAAAAACCCCGCCCACACGTGAATATATTTCGCAGTTTAATTGGATGAATAAATAAAATAACAAATTGACAAATAAAATGAAAATATTCGATACGAGCCCTTTATTCTGGGAGTAGGTACCAATATCGTATCGGTCGTTTCTTGTTTAACGCTAATGAATAATCCCTGTTTGCGATAAAGATAGCTAGCTACTCCAACCAACACCTGCCTGCCATTCAACAAGCCGCTTCTGGGCGGTGTTTTGCTACAATCTGCTGTTGCCAAATTGAGTTCAGAAATAAAATTGAAAACGTTAATTAGAAAAGGAGAAAAATATATTATTTAGGGATTCAAGACAAAATTTGGCATTCTCAGTGGTGGGGATAGCACAAAGACCCAAAAGAGACAGAGAGATGTTGTCATATGAAAATTTTGTTTATTGTTCCGTCTATCTGTGTTTTGATGTTATTGTGTTTTCTCATGTTTTTAATGACTCAAATTTCATGCTATAGAAGTTTTAGGCCTGGCAACACTGGCGGCAAAACTTTAGCGTCAGGAGAGTGGGGGGTTCATTTTTTTGTATCTGGCTCAGAAATTGATGTTTCATATCAAAAGTGTCCAAATTGGACCACCCTGTACTTAGCTTCTTTAACGTATAAGTTTAAAGTAAAAATAAATGTTCAAGAAATTATTGTTGATAATTCTAAGCCTGCGCCCCCCCTGAAGAAAATCCTGGATCCGCCACTGCCGAAAATTATCAGTTTATCTAATTATGCCAATTTCAAAAATTAGTGAAAGAGCCCATTATTTTGCATCAGTCATTATAATTTATCATCAGAAGGCGGAAATTTTGGTAGGCGTGAGGCCACTCTTCCGGATTCGGGAGTTAAATAAACTTTATGTGAAAGAATTAAACTTTGTATCACTCAAATTTAGCTCAACTGTTCAGAAAAGAAAATTATTAATTATTATCAATGGATCTTTTCAATTTGAAAGCCTCTCTTTGGCGTCAGCATAGATTAGGAGCGAGGGGGTGTTTCATATGGAAAAAAACATGTGTGACGTCGGGTAACTATTGGCATTCTAATGTAGAGCGCCGCCAGCTCACATTCCTTTCGAGTATCAGATTGAAATCAACAGACAATACCTGATATTTATAGTTATACAATGATTTGAGCTAGAAGTGACCCCTTTGATTTAACGGATGTGTTTTTGATCTTTTCTACATGTTGCACAGTCAAAATTATAGATAAATTAATGAATGAAATTCGATAGAGAAAAATTGAATTCGTACAAACAATGATAAATCAGCATAATGGAAACCTCGTCAAGATCAAAACCAATAACTGGTGAACGATACCATAAAACATTTCCTAAGCTTAAAATTCAAATGGCGCGGCAACAGAAACAATGGCGGCGCTCTATTCAAACCGTCAGGAGTGGGGAATGACGAACCGTCGAGGACGGCGGAAGTTTCATTAAAAGGGTCCAAAATATTTAAATCCCGTGGAAGTCCACTATCTTATCGAAATCCTAAATCAACACACGGATTTAGGTGAACATAAAAATTGGTCGCTTCAGCCAGGATGCAGTTTTCGCGAGAAAACGTGTAAAGAACAACGTGAACAGTACGTGCCTGCCGGTTCGGTAGTGTAATCACCCTATTGCGCAACAAAAATCAGCGCAATTTTGTCAGCGCATGTTAAAACAGGATTACAGGATAGACAAGCAGAACAGGATTACGTGAAGCCAAGTAAGTCCGTTCCTTTCTTCCTTATCTGTCATTTTTCCAAGGTTCTACTTGTTTTTTGTCGAGTTTTTTGTAGCATTTAATTTTTTGTTTGTTTTAATAAATATAGTAACTGACTGCCATAATTAATAAAATTGGATGTAATAATACTCGATTAACTTTTTAAGTACCCATTATATTTTTGACAGGGACGCTTACAAACACGTGGCCGCCAAAAACATAACCTCTCTTACCAAGATTTTTATCTGCCGCCTTCCCAAAATACGTCGAAATACTAAAAACTATAAAATTCACTATGAAAACAAACAAAACCAATGAAAAATACGTAGAAACACATAAAATTCACTTCGAAGGGCCAGAACACAAATGTGACAAATGCTCTCCTTATGAACGTCACCGGCTTGTCACCGCAATATTTGATCTGAACGACCATTAAAAAATCACGTGATTGAGATTCCCCAATTGCGTCATACTCCCTTAACGCCCCCTCCATCAAATTCTGG